ACTAGATGGTCATCTATCCTTCCTACATGGCAAGAGTTTGGACTGGATGGCCTTTAAGGTTCCTTCCAACTCTATGATTCTATTATTCTAAATGGCTCTGTATGTTCCTCCTGATGTGTGGGCACTGCCTGGGATACACCTGGTTCTGCCTCTGCCAGTACCTAGACAGGATTGTTAGCCTCCCACTGGGGTCTGTTCTCTCTTCCCCTTCCTTGTATCAAGGTAAGATATGACACTAAAAAAGCTTGTCTGCTTTCATCTCACATATAATGTCAGTATACAGTAAAGAACGTTTTACTATAAGTTCAACCAAGCTTGTGGGGATGTTTAGTTCACTGCATGAGCAAATTGTGGACCAAGCCAGATTGGAGGCATCCCTTCCTCACTGTTCAATGGGAAGCAGTCTCCTACACACTGCTCAGTCCATGAGTTACAACTCATTTAATGCAATCTCATTCTATTATATTGCATACAAAACAGCTATAAGTACCAATCAGGAAATCGCATGAAAAGATTGAATATGATAAGATAAAAATAAAATCAAACATGAGACATTTCAGCATATAGTCAACAAAAGTGGGATGAGTCACCTTGCTGGTTACAGAAAGGAGCATTTAATTTCAGGATAATGAAATTATGGAAATTATCCTTCTTTTTTAAACTTCTTGTTTCCTTTCCTCCATGACACTGATATGTGGCTTCACTAGCTCAATTTTATATCACCTCCTTAATCTTCCTTGAGTGAAGATTTGGTTCAAATGTTTTTATCTTATCTGGTTACATTTTTCAATATGCATTTTCTGGTGGTTACTTGTGGATGGTCACACAATTAGAGACACACATGTTACATTACCAGCCTATCAGTTTATTAGATCTCTGAACTTTTATACTCTACCCATCCCACACACTTTGTGAATCATTGGGTAAGTTTCAATATCTGAAAAGTAGACATATGAGATACTTAAAATAAATAAGCAAAATATATGAGTATGGGCCTTTGCAGACTGCCAGAAATAGTGCACATTAAATTGAGGCACTGCCCTGGCTCAGTGCTAGGGAATCATGGGAACTGTAATTTATTGTGGCACCAGAGCTCTCTGACAGAGAAGGCTCAATGTCTCAGAAAAAAATAAAATTCCCATGACTCCCTAGCACTGAGCCAGGGCAGTGCCTCAATTTAATGTGCACTATTTCTGGCAGTCTGCTTAGGCCCTATGTGGCAACAAAGATGCACAAAAAGATGAGAATGTGCATTGTCAATTTTGCCTCCCTAAGCAATCCCAGGTGTCTTGGGCTGCCCTGAATATTGATTTTGATTGTAATCATAGAACTGGGGACTGGATAATGCCTTCCAGCTGTTTGAACTTCAGTTTCCAGAAGCACCAGCCAGCATGGCCCATAGTGAGAGATTCTGGGAATTGATGTCAAAAACATCTAGAGAACCAAGGACTGAGGACCCTCTCTCTGATTGAAAAGAATAAACTTGAAAGCACAGTTTTATGGGAAAGACTTCCATTCATTCCTTCTCCTGCTTTTGGGTTTACAGTAAATGAACAAAGTCTGAGAACTAAACTTGATGTCCAGTATATCAGACCCAATATATGTTTCCATACACACCTTGAGGAACCATTCACCAGCATTCAGTATCTCCAAGTCTGTCCAGTTGAACATGGAAGAATGCTCATAGGCCAGTTGTGGAAACACTTCTTCTACATTGGTTGTCCTCCGCAGTGTCTTGTCATGCATTAAAAAAGGTACTCCATCATAACTGTGGAACAGAGAGAAGATAAGCATCACTCATTGACTTAGAAGACAGTCCCTGGCAGAAGACAGGTGACTTAGGCTATGTGAGACATAGTGCTGTTGACTCATGGAGAGATGTGAAAACCTGTAAATGGTAATGAAGAAAACATTTGTTTGGTTAACATATGCGTGTGAATCGAACTAATCCACACTTCCTGAATTAATACACAAACTGAAATGCAATTATTCTGCCCTTTTCAAATGTCTCCAATTTTTGCAATAAGAACACAAGAGCCATGCTTATCCAGTCCAATACTCCATTCATGGAGTAGCCAAGTTACCCACGGGAAGCCCATCAGCAAGACATGAGTGCAACTGCATTCTCCATCTCATGTGCCTCCCAGCCAAGTATATATAGAAGTACATTGCCTCCAACACAAGCAGATCTATAGGCAGGGGTGTCAATAGGAGCTGCAGGGGAGTGGGCTGCACCAGGTGAAACCCTAAGGCAGGGGTAGGCAACCTTTCCCCTTTAAGGGCCGAGG